TCTCTTGAAAAGGCTTTTGTTGGCAAAGTTACAACACTTCTTGATCGAATTTTCCTTAAAATCAATGTAGCTGTGATTAGCAGCTGAAATTCCTTTAAGAACCCAATAGGAAAAGTCTGAGGAATACGTAGATATGATATAAAAACTCTTAAATCTTATTGGAAATAAGGAGAAAATAGCATATCTATGTGTGATTTAAATAAACCACTATGTCATTGGTATTCCCTTTAAAACCGCAGTGGAGAATTTTTTTTGAAGATACGACATAATATTAATTCCTCCAAAAACCTCAGAAAAATATGAGGGACAATATAAAGTGATACACCGCTAATATTCCTGTAAAACCCAGTGAAAAAATTAGGAGAAAATATGACGATATATTATTGTTATTGTCTCTTAGATAACTCACATGAAAAACCTTTTCACAAAACCATGGATAGAGTTGTGAGAGCAAAACGTGTCTTTGATATTTCCTGTAAAAACCAGATGGGAAAAATAGAAAATATGACACTCACTTATGTTAATATTACCTTATTAAAAACTTTAATAAGAAACCTTGTGAGTAAAACTTGTGAAAGAAAAGAGTGTAATATGATGTTGGTACACGTTAGCATCGAGGAGATATCTCCCCCTGATTCTTGTAAATTACAAAGTCGTCGCCATACTAATTTCATGCACATTTTTTTGAAACATAGAATTTGGTAAGGACTTAGTAAATAGGTCAGTGAGATTATCATATAACTTGATTTGCAAGATGTTTATTTCCTTGTTTTCTTGTAATTCATGGGGATAAAACAGTTTAGGAGTAACGTGCTTAGTGACATTGCTCTTTATGTAACCCGTTTGCATCGGTGTAATACAAGCAAAATTATCTTCATAGATAATTGTAGGTGATTCAATTGAATCAATATCACATTCACGTGAGGCCTCGTATAGTGCAATAATTTTAGAATGATTAGTAGAGGTCGCCGTTAGAGTGTTTAGAAGGCTTCCATTAAATAGTTGTACCTCCATGTAAGAATACAAAGTCTGTTTGGAATCTGGCATTATGGGGATCAGATAAGTAGCCGGCATCCGTATATCCAATCATATTGGGATTATGTTTTTTTTCTTAAAGAATAAACCAAGATCCTTTGTACCATTAAGATATCTAAGGATATGCTTTGCTCCTGTCCAATAACAACGAGTTGGATCAGCACTATGTCTATCTAGTTCATTGCAAATGATATTAGGTCTGGTGTAATTTGCAAGATACATAAGTGCTGCAATGACACTGAGATATGAAACCTTGGGTCTCGTATCTTTTCTCCAATATTCCATGGTCTAAATGGATCTTTCTCCATTTCTAGAGAACGAACAACCATCAGAGTTTTGAAAGGGGTATGTTTTGTCCATATTGAAATTCTCTAATATTTTTTGAATATAGGCCGATTGATTCACAAAAATTCCTGAGTAAAGGTGCTCAAATTATATGCCTAAGCAATATTTGGTCACCCAAATCCTTCATCTCAAACTCCGTCTTTAAGTGATTGTGTGCTTCATCTATATCCTTTGGGTTGCCAATGATATTTAAATCATCAACAAACACAAATATAATATAAAATCCCCTTGGAGATTTCTTGGTGAATACACATGGGCAATCATCATCGTTAGTGTATCCCTTCATTAGACGAAACTCACTCAGTCGGTTGTACCACATTCGTCCCAATTGCTTTAAGCCATATAGTGACTTTTGAAGCTTTACACAATACATGTTGCGATTTACGGTTGGATTCGGAGTTTGGATTCCAGCGGGAACCTTCATGTATATGTCCAAATCAAGTGACCCATAAAGATATGCTGTCACTACATCCATCAACTGCATAGATAGATAATTTTGAACTACCAATGATATTAATATATGAAAAGTAATTCCATTTATAACTGGAGAGTAAGTTTCATTGTAATTAATACCGGGTCTCTACGTTAACCCTTGTGCTACTAGTCTCGCTTTATATCTCACCACCTCATTGTTTTCATTCTGTTTTCGAACGAAAACTCATTTGAATCCCACAAGAAAGATTTTGGGAGGTGTAGGTATTGCAGATGTGAATACCCCTCTTTTAGTGAGCGAGGCTATCCCAACTTGGATTGCTTCCTTCCATTGAGCAGTCTAGTCCGAGCGCTTTTTGCACTCTGCTATTGTAAGTGCAATCAAGCTCTAAGTGGGTTTTGGTGATGTTGACCACATAATTAAAGGACTAATGGTTTTGATAAGTGTTTGACAACATATCTTTAATTGTGGGTGCAAAGAAACAAATGAGGAGACCCCTGATGAGGACATCAACACCGATCATACATGGATCGTGCTCGAACACTTAATCATCAAGTGAGTTCCTTCTTGAGCTCTTGTCCATCCTGTTTAGATCTTGGAGACACGTGCACTCTTGTTTTGATTAGGAATCAAGGAGAAGACCGAAGGGAAAAGGACTCGCGTAGGCTGGATTCGGACTGCAGCACACCTCCAACTTTGCGATGGTCGCCATACGGTTACATACTGAGTCAGATTGGGGTGATTCTGGACTTGTTGGAAAGCTAATAAAGTCTACTTTCATACGGATCTGACCTAATACTCATACCTGCTTAGAAACGGCGTCAACAGTCCAAAAAATCACCGAGAGGTCTATTCTGTCAGGGTGCTGCGCCACCTTAAGTTAGCCCAATGGGCTTGTATCGTTTAGAGTCCAGTGAGGGACGCGTCCTAGGGTTGGAGCACGACCCAAACTCTCTTGTGGTCGTTCTCCACACGTCATATCCCTTAGCCGCCACCGGGAACACTTGGATTTTGTTTAGATCAAGTTTAGCCTTTGCTACTTGCTTGTAGGCGCTGCGTCTTGACCGCCTGCGTCTCCTTGTCTTGAACCCCACTCATCATAAGATTCAGTTTGAGGCTTTCAATTTCATCTTGCAAATTCAGTGCTTGTTTCCTTGTTCTTGCTAGTTCTTGATTGCTTGCGGGACAGGGAGCCCTAGTGGTCTGTTGTCGCGCTCCACAAGATCGTGACGGCCTTTGGAGGTGGTGTATCGGTTGCTAAGGCGCGGTCTTGGAAGGCTGTAGTCGGGCCGTGAACGTCATCTCCATCCACCAAATCGAGTGATCTCACGCCTCTCATCGAAAGATCGTCCATAAACCCTAGCGGGTTCATATCAACCCTCAACTTAAATGGATGGCTTGTAACGGCTCCAAGAGCTAGTTTAATTCATTTTATATTTTGAAATTGAGTTATAGGACAAGCCGTACTATCAAGGGGGATACTAATAGTGTGCTGGGTGGAATTAAGTGCTCAAAACTCCATCTACATCTCAAATAATCCCAGCCACAAAAAGTCAGCCGAACTGAATTCTTATCTACTCTGGCCTGCGCGCAACCTCCGCATTCTGACGTGGAGGCTCCGGGGTCTGTCTGACCTGACCGTTTTTGTGGGTGACGGTAGAGGTATTTATACTCACCCCTTCGCCCTCCAATGGTCATCTTCAACCTCACTCACTCAGACTCGAACTGAAGCTCTCTCTCTCCCAAGCTTGATGCTCCCAACTCCCTTGCTCAAATCTTTGTGATTCCTTGAGGGATTTGGCTCTAGAGAGTGTGAGAAAGCTCGAGAAGATCCTTCTACTCTGTTCTTGTGCACTTGGTGAAAGCCCTAGTCGTTTGGTGTGTTCGTTATTCTTAGAACTTGGCTCCTAGACGGCTAGCGGTCGCCCGATAGCTCCTAATCCGCGTGGTTGAGCACCGGGGACGTTTGTATTACCTTTGTGACTTAGTGGAATCCTCTAACCTATTGCCTTGGTGGTAGGTTGGAGAAGATGAGCGAGTTGCAAGAGACTCCATAGCCTTTGTGGCTAACCTCAACAACGTGGACGTAGGTCAGCCTTTGTGATGAACCGAACCACGGGATAAATCCTCGTGTCTCTTGTGTTTGTGATTGTTGTTGCTATTACTTGTGATTTGAATTGATTTTTAGGGTTTGCATTCGATCTACGAATCCCTCGTCCTCTAGATGCAACCGACTGTTTGGATAGCTCAACACACTCTCCAGGAAGGCTGGTATTACATTTGATCTATTTTTCATTCGTTAAATTCCGCAGTAGATCGATTTCTTACTCTGATCCCGGAGGTTCCACGCTTAGCCCCGGAACCTCCGCGCCCCAGAACCTCCACGCTCAGACCCGGAGGTTCCGCATTCTGACTGGTTTCGTGAAGTTGATTAAAATTCAGAAAAATGCCTATTCACCCCCTCCTAGGCCACATGCCAGATCCTTTCAGCTATTGATGAAGGAAAGCATCAACGAGGGTGGAGGCAGCCATGTGGTCAGAAGAGAAGACAACAGGGCAAAGGTAGAGGCATAGAGAACGGAGGCTGAAGGAGCGGTGGACATGAGGCGACGCTAGAGGGAGCGGAGGAGGCGATGGGAAATTGGAAGTTACGGATCGGGAGGTTGGAGACGGTCGCGTGTTGTGGAGAGGATAAGGTTGGGTCGGTGGTAGAGAAGATTCTAGAGGCAAGTTGGATAAGAAACGGAGGACGGTGATGAAATGAGTACTTTTGTATGAAGAGGCATACATAAATGTTGGACGAGAAATAAATAATTTGATATGATATGATATGACGATTAGTTTTTTTTGAGCAGAATACGATGATTAGTAAATGTGTTTGGAAATATTGCTCGTCCATGGATATCAGTGTTATGAATTATGGTTTCCTGTTTAAATATAGGTCCTTTTGAAAGAGTGGGGTGCTCCCATAAACTGGACTGGACTCGTTTTTTTGTCGTATAAATGGATTATCCGACTCTTTTTTCCTGTCGCGAATACAATTCTTCCAAAAAAAAAACACTTCTTTCGTTGTCATATCATATGGTTCTTCATCTTTATTCAGAAGGAGCACGGAGAAGCAAGCAGAACGCCTCACGTCAAAAGGCACCAGCTTATTCGTGACCAGCTGATTAGCTGAACACGCTCCTCACAAGACGAGCGAGAAGGCGGTGCCGACGCAGAGCATCACCGCTGCCAGACGTGCTCCAACGAGCGCGACGGGGGCGGAGTTCTGCGCCGGCGGCTGCTGCAGGTCGTGCTTGAGCGCATCGACGGTGGCCTGGTCGGTGTGGAACGACTTCTCCAGCACGGCGTCGTCGATGCCGGTCTCGAAGAGCTCCGTGGGGAGCGAGATGGTGCCGGGGCTGGCGCTGCCGAAGGCCGAGAAGGCGCGCGCCACGTCGGTGCCGTTGTTGGACTGGAAGTGCACCATGCCCTTGGGGAACACGAACATGTCGCCGGCCTGCAGCGTCGCCGTGTGCAGCGTGCCGTTGCGGGCGGCGTCGACCAGGCCCACGAACAGAGCGCCCTGCACCACCAGCAGCAGCTCCGACGCCCTGCATGCGATCGACGATCATGCCAGCGACACGTACGTAAGCATGGGTCCAAACACGCGTACGTACAAGCCAACGTGTACGTGTGTACCTGGGGTGGATGTGCGGCGGGTTGACGGTGCCGGCGCCGAAGACGAGCGTGGCGAACGAGACGGACTGCCCCAGCAACGCCGGGAACTCGGCCGCGGTGGCCTTGGTCGCGGTGAACTTGGCCGGGTCGCCGGCGTTCCCGCTGACGAGGCGGGTGTAGGTGAAGAAGGTGCCGTTGATCTGGGACGGGTCGGCCAGCAAGTCCCGTGGCACCACGAAGTCGGTCAGGATGTCGGGGTCGCTGGCGCGGGCACACCCAGGCAGCTGGTGCACCACCACCAGCACGGCGGCACACAGGAACAGCAGCCGGAGGCCGGGAGCGAGCGCCATCGATCCGCTAGCTGCTCTCCGGTGAGCAGGATGCGGTGGAAATGGAAATTGAACGATCAGACGCGCGTGGCAGAGCTTGCCGAAGCGTGGCGCGATCCACAGGAGTTGGGGGCTGCGATGGTTTGCTAGCTATATATATACATTTAGAGGAACAGCTAGCGCGGCCTTGGAAGAGCTGTGCCGGTTGCCCTGCTAGACTGTTAGAGTGAGTTATCTTTGTACTAACGACAGGCAGCGCGTCTCGGCCTTGGTTTCCTAAGCTTTGTAGGTTTGGGTGTTACAATGTACAGCCCAGGTGAGGTGACAGTATTGCTAGCTCTTGCTAGATGAATATGGTGAAACTGCCAAAGGCTCAGTTGTTTGGGCATTTAGGGAAGGCCGTCAGAGTTCGTCAAACATCAGACTCCTTTGCAGCGCATGAGGAAGTTGGCACTTGGCAGCAGTCACGTATATTCCTTTTTTTAGAAAATGGAAAATATCTGGCCTCTGCGGGTCACGTATATTCCTGCGTCACCACATAGAAATGCTTGGAGACAACAAGAATACAAGACGCATGTTTCTTGTATGTGCTGGTTATTTCATTATTTGTTGTCCGGCAATTGCTCGCAGCTCCCCACCAGCTTTCCAGCCGCCTGTTCAGTTTTTACTCAATTTTATTTCAGGAGGCTTGTTTCGGTGGTTGGAAAGAACTACTAGTACTTTTGGGCGCTTTGTATTTTTATTTTGATTAGATAACGTGCTCGTGTGTTGCTACGGAATAATTAACAATTTATACTAAAAACACATGGACCCGCACGATAAGATAACAATACTGTAAAAATTAAATACTAACGTTAAAGTGACATTTAATCCAAAAAGCAAAGTTTATGAATTTAACACAGTCACGGAGTGCGCGGCGTCGCAGGTTCACAAACTCTACTTTATAGACCTTTCCGTGATGCGGCTAAGATAATGTTTTATATTGGTAGGAAGAAATCTCCGATATCCATTTCTTTGTATTTTGTGAGCCTACGACGTCGCGCACTCCGTGATTGTGTTAAATTCATAAACTTTGCTTTTTGATTAAATGACACTTTAACGTTGGTATTTAATTTAACAGTATTGTTATCTTATCGTGCGATCCGTGTGTTTTAATATAAATTGTTAGTTATCCCGTAGCAACGCACATGCACGTTACCTGAAACAACAAGCGAGGGCGATGGAACACATGAGCGTAAAACCAAATGAAAGGAGGAAAAAACTATCCCTTTTGCAAATGCAAAGATGAGAAGTAATTAAATATAGGCAGATTTGGCAAGGTTCTCAGAAATGCAAAGAGGTTCCTTTTGTCTTAATTCTCTTTTTTCTGTGTTAATTCTCTTTTCCTTTTGCTCGTTGCCATGTATGCTGGTTCATGCAAACTTGCAATGTATATATGAATAGCACAATAATTTTCTACTTTCTATTTTGCCGTGATTCCTCTATCACATGACAGGCAATATTCAATTAAGGAGAATTATGCATGCGGGAAATGTCGTGGGATCGCAGGCGTGGGCAGACGGACGAACCAAAATAAATATCGCACCAAAAAATGTCCACACTTTGTTCATTTTAGTTGTAGGAGATTAATACAAAAGATTTAGTTGTCCCGTAGCAACGCACGGGCACGCTACCTGAAATAGCAAGCGAGGGCGATGAAACACGTGAGCGTGAAACCAAATAAAAAGGAGAAAAAAGTTGTCCTGTCGGGTTCATAAACCCGGGGTCCCTCGAGGACCGGCTTCCACGCCAGGGCTCGGCCTAGGAGGATGGCCTTCTTTTCTTCAGGACTGGCCCGATAGTATAAGTTCAAACATACCGGAGCACTCGCTTCAGGCCCTAGCCACCTTTGGCCCATCTTTCCGACCAGAGCACCAGCTCAGGCTTAGGCCAACTCCGAACGGCCTCTCCGATCGGAGCGCTAGCGTCAGGCCACCGGCCGCCTTGGCACGACCTCCACCCGGAAAGCCTGACCCGAGGACCGCCTCCGACTCCGACCCCGTGTCTCCGACCGGGGTTCATAGAAAACCCTGCCCATTGCTTTTCTCCGACTGGCGCGCCAGTACCGACTGGGGCCATCCAACCGGGGATGCCCGCTCGGAAAGAACCAGAAGGCGTACTAAGGAAGGCAAGACAGGTCTTGCAAGTCAAACCACGACACAGGGACCATACCCTGCGGAACAACGCTTTACAACCGCCCTGCCACGAATAGTATTGTAGGCGCCCACGTTTACCTCTACAGTATTGTAGGCACCGGTCAAAACACCCGTACGGTAAGACCCCCACGTGCCTCTGGGCATCAACCGTATTATGGGCGCCGGAATTCACCGTAACAGGCGAACATTGTAAAGCCATGCCTCCAGTCGGTGAGACAGCATTTTTGCAGGTACCGACGTCCTCCAGTCTTGAAGAAAGCAGCTCAACCTCCCACATGTACCTAACATTCTGCAGTGACATCAACAGTATTGCGGGTGCCCACCATTGTTCCATCCCCATCGGCGTGGGCAACAAGGCTTAGAAACGTCCGTACTCCCTCTCTCTTGTAAAGCCATCCCCTTCTTCTATAAAAGGGGATGTGCTCCCTCCAAACACAGGGCAGTTAACCTAAGTCGACTTCTTCAAGTTCAGGTTTAGGGTTGGACACTTCGTTCATAGCATAACTCCTGTCGATCTCGGCCCTTCCGACCGGACCGACCGTACACCCCTCATTTCTCCTTCTCGTTTGTAACCCCACTACAGACTTCGAGCACCTGTGCTCGGGAATAAAGTCACCGACCGACCCACACTAGACGTAGGGCACGTTGCCTGAACCAGTCTAAATCCCGTGTCATTGAGTGCTAGGCCACCTCCGATCACAACGTACAACAAAACTACAAATATTTACTAGTTGATCACTTTCTATACCGACAGTTGGCGCCGTCCGTGGGGAAGACGCTGTACGTTCAACACTTTTTTGGCAATTGGATGGCCCATTTCTCCGCCACCCCCGCCGTGGCGGGCTCGGGCGATACGATTCGCTTCGGCTCGATGGAATTTCCCGCACTTTCGCCCACCGGGATGCGGGTTCCACCCGTCTTCGAGCCTTCCCAGGCCTTCCGCTTCGGAAGCCTGGACTTCGTCGCCGACCGGCTCGGCGTACTCCACCTCCGCGAGGAGGCGCACGTCCCGGCACCCGTCGAAGGGGCGCCCTCCATCGACTCTGGGACGCGCGACATCAACGGCGCGGCATCTGCGCTTCTATTGGCATTTAGGGACGGAGGGAGTAGTTATTAGTTATAATTCATTGTCAATTGGCCATTTGGGCCTGGCAAACGGCCCCTCAACGAGGAAGAAGACTGCAGGTATAAACTGAGAGCTTGTGCCTTTCCAATTGCATTAGTAATCATTTCATTTCTCTTTTTAAAATTTCAGCATCGTTTCTTTTCATCCAATTGCAATTAGTTTATTCATACCAAATTTCGGCAGTGAGAAAATAAAGAGAAAACAAGTCGATGAATTGTTGCAGTCATAGAGAGTATCAAATGATAAATTCTTTAAAAGTAATATAAGCACATCAAGAAATCCATACGAATTAGATATAATTGCTATTAATGTAGATAATCAACCATGTAGAAGACATTGAAGAAAAATTTAAAGTAATTTAATATTATAATTTATTTGATATGAATATTGCATTTGATACTCTTTAACTGTTTATAGGTAATATTCCGTTTATACATGTGTTTAGTAATATTAATATATTATTTCGATGTTTATACTAAAGGGCCCTGAGATTTAGTTTTGCTCTAGGCCCTAAAATCTTAGGACCGGCACTGGGTGTTACAATGTACAGCCCAGGTGAGGTGACAGCATTGCTAGCTCTTGCTAGATGAATATGGTGAAACTGCCAAAGGCATGCCAGCTTAAGACTCAGTTGTTTGGGCATTTAGGGAAGGCCGTCAGAGTTCGTCAAACAAGTTGGCACTTGGCAGCAGTCACGTATATTCCTTTTTTTAGAAAATGAAAAATATCTGGCCTCTGCGGGTCACGTATATTCCTGCGTCACCACATAGAAATGCTTGGAGACAACAAGAATACAAGACGCATGTTTCATGTATGTGCTGGTTATTTCATTATTTGTTGTCCGGCAATTGCTCGCAGCTCCCCACCAGCTTTCCAGCAGCCTGTTCAGTTTTTACTCAATTTTATTTCAGAAGGCTTGTTTCGGTGGTTGGAAAGAGCTACTAGTACTTTTGGGCACTTTGTATTTTTATTTTGATAAAAAAATAATTTAAGAAAGAAAATCAGGGTAAATAAATTAATGGAGAAAATGGTAGATTAGTAATATGAGCACAACAATTGGCTCGCAAAACGCTCCTGGCCGCAGGTGCTTAAGAGACGGTGGCGTGCACTAGTAGAGAACAGACCTTTGATTCTCGGTTAAAATGAGCTCTAGTTCCGGAATTTTTTGCGTCCGGAACTAGAAATACCTTTAGTCCCGGTTGGTGGCTTCAACCGGGACTAAAGGTCCCTGCCCAACGGCTACTGCGCCAGACAGAGGTGGCAGGGACCTTTAGTCCCAGTTGGAGCCACCAACCGGGACTAAAGGTATACTTTTACTCCCGGTTGGTGGCTCCAACCGGGAGTAAAGGTCTACTCTTGGGCCGTGGCTGCGCCTGGGGTTGGAAAGTTACCTTTATTCCCGGTTGGAGCCACCAACCGAGACTAAATGTCCCCCCTTTATATATCAGCCATCTCCTTTTTCCTTCCCGAGCCCGAGCTCAGCACATTTTGAAGCTCACTGCACTAGTGTTCTTGCTTCCTCCCTCCCTCCATTATTCCTCCATCCATTCTTTGATTCCTCCGTCGATTTCTTCGATTCCTCCGTCGATTCTTCAGTTGTAAAGGTTACCAATCTCATACTCTCATTTTTCACCATTGTCTTATGTCATTTTGTTCACTATATATATATGGTTCTTTATTGTGGTTTTTTTTATTTGTAA